GGCGAATGAAAATAATTCACCTACCGATTCATTGGTTTTAGACAGACAGACCTTTTAAAAATCTACTTATGTGGTAAATATTAAGACAATAATGTTATTCTCATCGACAGGTCTGTCTATACTTTTTTATAAATTACTAAAAATACGTATCAACTCTGATGAAGCCAATAGATGTGAATGGATCGCAAATCGACATTATGGTGAGTCTCACAAATCCTTACTTCTTAGCATTATAGTGCAATAACTCACTGTTACTTTTGAAATTGGTTAATCAAAAATTATCACTGTTGTATTAATTTCAGCCTTATTTGCTGTTAAGTACTCATGTTACTCACCCTGGGAGTGTAAGAGTGACGTCTGTTCAAAGCCATAATTAAAGGTTAATACGGTTTCACTGCAGCCGAAAGAAGACTCAACTTTTTCTCTACTTCCCCATGCTCTCCTCTTTTTCAGAGATAGGGGAGGATAACACGAGAGTGCGATTACAGGGAGGGATCACAAAACGTCACAGCTGATTTGAACTGAGAGATGGAGGGTAATATTTAACCAGCTGAGACTTGGATGTTGGTTACTTTGATCTCATAGCCATTCAAACAGCTATGAGATCATCTTTTCATTAATCTGATTTACTGCAGCTAAATGTACATGACATTCAAGTGAGACGTATGAAAACACACTTTTAGCCAGTATTCCCATTCATTTCACATACTATCAACCCATGGTATTTGCAAGACTAGTACATGCTAACAATGAACAAGTTAAAGATTGAGGTGGTTCACAGGTGACACACACAGGCTAACGATAGCCAAGAGAGCTCAGAGGGTCGAATACTAAATAAGCTACTTTAGAGGTTTATTTAAACTAAGAAGCAACAAGTCAGATACGCACTTGCAAAAAGTAAATGCATCCAAAGGAAGTCAAAGGCTTGAGCCAAAACAATAATGACAAAGTACTCAATGACTCAATGGGGACAAATGTCCCGACACACAATTATGCTAATTCTATTTTAATGTTGACTCTTTACACCAAACCACTTTTAAATGCTATCTATGGACCACGTCGTAACAAATTATTTAGAACAGCTTTACAAAGCCTTATACTCTGACTAGCCAAAACGGTTTGAAACATTAGCAACAGGCTAAAGTCCGAGAGAAAGGCGCTGTTAAACAGCTAACATGACACAGGTGTATTTTGTAATGCAACTCACCTGATATATGCAGATTCCTGTCTTTAAATTAAGCCTTTTGATGTATTCATGCAAAAAATAATCCTCTGGTGTTTTTGGATAAATAGCTTAGGGATCCGACGAGCTTTTCCGTTTTTGACAGGTCACTTCCGGCAACCTGACAGACTAAAAGAAGAAGAAATGGGAGAAATAGCGCCCCTCGTGGCTGGTAAAGTCTGTTTGCAATGAAAACACCCAGCTTATGAGGTTTCGAAAAAACACGGTACAATACAAGAATGGGATTTGCTGTTGGTTTACTGAGATTTCAATTAAAAAATGTGGCGGTTAAAAGCCACATCATCACATTTTACAGGGGAGGCAAATAAGTAGTCAGATTGTTTTACAGTTTGGTTTCTGTTCGACGAAATAACCATGTCAATTAATACGCTGGTCTAATTGTGCTATATTAGTAATAAGTTAATATTAAAAGAAATGTTACATGAAATTGGCCGGGGGAGACAACTCTCTTCTGTTGTTATGTTCTTGTTATTATTTTTATTTTTATTTTGGGTTGATCACTTATCACACATATCTGTGTTACAGTAACACAAAGGCCCTTCGTGCGTTATTACGCAC